CACAATAAGTCTAATAAAATAAAGTTTATCAAATTGACGGCACTATACCAAGATTTTGTTTTTGCAGTGTGGTCAGTAAATTACTTCCGATTATAGTATACTAAAGGTAATTTGTACAGTCTGACATTTGTACATTTGACGGTAGTCATAACATACGTACTTTCGAATAAAACGACGAAGACACAAAAGTAGTCCTGTAGTTGACTAACAGGGGTCTTGTTCCGTCGGGTTCTTCTGGTTTGAGTGTCTCGGAAAACTTCCTCGGGGGGTAGAGTCTAGGAACCATCTGAGTCCGCTACTTCTAGACAGGTCGGACTAGGTCGTTGTGGTGGTACGTGGAGACTTTGGACAAGATTGGCGTAGGTCACAGAACTCGATCTTACGGTTCGAGATTCCTGACTTTTGTACAACAATTCCCTGTTCTATTTATCCTTCTGGGACTGTCTCTAATCAAACGTATTATACTACTATTTTTCCACTTACAGAGTGACCCAATCGTTGGATATGTACAGAATACTGGGTAAAAAGTTATAAACCGAGGTAAAGAGTTTGAATTTAGTAGTTATTGTACAAAAAGTTGTTATGTACAACTGAAACTAGTTCTAGAGATCGGAGAAATTCCTAAGTGTAGCTTTCCTCAGTATCCTCATGGAAAGCAGTCTTTATATGATAGAGAATGGTTTCCGTGACAACGGTTATTTGAAAGTGTCTGTATCTTTTTTCTTTTACTACAATGAATAGAACTATTTTAACACACTCACATACAACACCTGATTGTTTACATGGACTAAGACACCACGGGAAACTCACTACTTAAACCGCAGTTGTCTTTTATTTGAAAAAACTAAGCGAAGAGTGAACAAACAACACTGATGAAAAGAGTGAGTGATCTAAACTCACTGGATAGGTACAAAATTCTCGCGATTGTCTATGACGATGTCTGTGTCTTTCTGTAACCAAATTGTCAAACAAATAATTAATTATTTTATAACTGTAACGTAGTCGAGTAAGTATAAGTGTGAAAAGCATTCATTCATTCCTGATTCATTAATACAAAAAAAAAAAACCCGTAACTAATCAAAGGATGTTGATCCTGTGTGGGTGACAAAGCCATGGGAAAAGTAGGCTTCCGTCCAAACCACCTTGGAGAAGTGCCGTGTCTTGGGACTCGTGTTTGTTCGTACAAGGGACGGCGTCCACGTGCCGTCATCGTGGTGACAACGACCCCTAGCCACGAACGTCAACGAACAAAACCACCGTCTTTTGGTAAACGGATTGTCGAGACCCTACTACGTAAAATCCTTCTTCAGTGCTCGTTCAAGTTCAAGAAACACTTTCTTAAGACCCAGTTTACATTACGCAAGGTGTTTTCCCCACTTAGTGGAAGGAAAAGTCAGGTGTCTTACTTTAGTGTCATACGGTTAAACCATTGTTTTATCGACGTAGACGTGAACCATCTTCATACGTACCAGAGCGAATTCAGATTAAAAAGGAACCCCTTAGAACAAGTTCCGTTTTCACACGTTGTCTTAAATGTCGAAGTAACTGTCTTTCGAGGAAACGTCTTTTACCCGTGAATTAAGATTCTGGGGACATGGTGTCGTCGATGTCCTGTGTATGGGTAGTCCAACTCCGGGGCTATTTACCCAACGTCTCCACCTTTAAGATTTAGGCCGACCAGCGTGGTCCTGCAGACACACACTATCCGCTACGACGTAAAGCATCATAAAAGACCGGTCAAGAAGTAAGAACGTAGGGGTAGACTTCTTTGTTACATTTTATACTCAAAACCCTGTTATCATTACGGTGGGGTGTAACGATGGAGGGACGGGAAATGTTTACAAATGACGACATGAACCAAAATGTGAAGAAAAAATTTCTTATTCGGATCATGAATGACGTAAATGGGAAGTAAGGTGGAGTGTGATTAAAGAACAATGTGGGATACCTTTACTGTTCAATTGTGTATGTATCTTCTCCTAATGTGTGACGTGTGGGATAAAATCAAATGTCACCTTAAGGTCGACTAAAGTTGTACGTCAACATTACGAGTGTGTGTGATGGGAACTGAACAACACTTCTACACCGGTAAAATATAGTAGGGTGTACTAAATGTCGACATAACATTCCACAGACGACTACGTGTACAGTGTTACAAAGTATGTTATTCATTAGTTAACGTATACGAGTATGAAAACCCGTACTACTTGTTAGTCGACTGTGGAATGTTGTTCGTCTTGAAAAACCCTACCGATAAACCTCATACAATCCTACAAGTTTGACGTACAACTGTACCCGACCTTATAGAGATACGAGGTACATATGGACCATCGAGTGACGACTTTTGTACCCTGAAACCAGTGTGTAGACAGAATACTCTCTGTGACGACCAAAAGACTCCCAGACAAGAACAACGACGAGACTTCCATCTAGGACAGTGGGATGTGAGGAAACTAGTTTGGTTTAAGACCTGAACCTGACCAGAACCCAGAGGAGGAGATGTTATAGTGAGACTTTCGTACGGTTAGGTTTGTCAAAAGAGTAAAATGTAACGTTCAATCGTGTGGTGTCATGTGCACGTGTATTGTACCATCTAGAATCTAAAGTCAGTAATCATTGTCTTATACCAAGACATGGACAAGAAGTCACTTGTCAGTTCAGGAGTTTATAAGGAAGAACGTGCCGAGAACATTAAGTCGGTCCAAGTCCAAGAGAACGGAAGAACAGCATGTCTGACCATTCCCACACAAGTCATTTAGATAAAACACGACTGTCAGAACCAATGTATCCTACACCGCATGGGCGCTTGTTGACTGTCCTGAACGTCCAAGACGTCCGTCCTGAAAAGGGTAGAACTCCAGGCCGTGACACTCGCATAACCGCTAAAACAATTCGACAACAAACGAGTCGTCGTCACAGTCCCTCACCCTTCCTACGGCCGCCGTCTCCATGGGAACACCTTAAGGGCAGGAATACAAATAAACAACTCATACCAAACTTATATACTACAGGCAACGGGACGTCCATGAGGTGTAGAGAAGCGTCGTAAGAGTGACCCTCTACAGGGTGAACGTAAAGAACCTACACAACGTCGACTAAGGAGCACGGGAAAGCAACAAAAAAGGGTGTCCTGACTTCTCTTGTCGACTGTGTACTCCTCGTCGAGAGGGCTCAGGGGCGACCCGTCAACGTCACACGATGGTCGTGTTGTGGCAAGCAAAGGACTGGTGGTGGTACCGAAATCAACCGAGCGTAATTCGGAAACCTCACTAATGGATATATACTTGAAGTTTTTATCTATTTATTCCAATTTTTGCGGTCGGTGAACAACGTTCATGCAAGTTTTACTGCATTTGATCAACGTCCTGCGTACGTATCGATAGGTTCGATGTCATTTGTTTGTACATTGCACTGTGACGGCAATCGATCTGTTCGATTAATTTCGTTTGTTACGATTCGGCACTTGACGGATAGTTTCTGACCCTTCCATTACCATTATGAATGGAACGTACTACTACGGCTTCAAGAACCTACATTCTGAGGTGTCACTGAACTTACAGACAAATGCTTCTGGCTGACTGTGTAACAATTCGGAGGTTCGAAAACATTCCGAGACTCCCCTCCAGAGGACTCATAGTAGACCCAACATGTAATCAGACAGGAGTTTGATCTACCAACCTTTGACGGATGGCTTCTGCAGATAGCTTTGCCTGCTCTACTTTGTGCAATTTAGTCTTCTGCCTTCTGTTAAAAACCTCCAGTCTCGTTTTTCGTCTCCTCTTCTCTGGAGATGGAAGGTAATCAAAAATTGACGGAATAAAATCCGGACTCAACGGGTTATCACTCTTTCTCCCTAAAAAATAAGAAGGAATATTTTCAACACGGGTTTGTTTACCACTAGCTTGCTACAAGCTAACTGGCTAGGCTGCACCAGAGCCACACTTGTTGAGTTAAAAAGGGACATCACAGAGTCCGTTAGCTATAATAACTGGGTGCTAGATTCTACTTCGGTAAAAAATTAAACTGACCAGAAACTTTTTGTAGCATTGTACTGTATTCCTTCACCCACCTGATATGAAGTGATCACTGCATAAGCGAAAGCAAACGGCCGGGGGGTCCCATCTTTCAGTCTTGTTCAGACGGCTCCTGGCTCTTTTAATCGCTGCGATCCACTTTTCCCTCCTCTCCGCGTCTTTTGGAATGCGATAATAAGATACACCTTTCTTCTTCCCACGCCTATTTGTGCAACCTGGTGCACAGCAGTTATCCACCATCCTCGACAGTCTGCCAGTGCCTGCCAATGAATTTACTGACGCGATTACTGCCAAAATGGCTGCCCCCTTCGTTTCTCGTCACGTGACCAGCATATGTGACATCATCCGCAGGAGCTCTATAGTGGCCAAAATCTGCTCAGCTCATTTTCAGACAGGTTTTTATATAAATGGATCGGGACAAAAAGTGAGAGAATCTTTTTTCCTGAAACTTTCAGAATCTCTTTCCACAGAGGGGACACATGTTGATGTATCAAAGACATGAAAAAGTGGATTTTGCCTAAAAGGTGTCCTTTAATCTCCATTAGTGGGATTATGGACCTAAAGCCGGTTTTGCTTTTTAGACCACTAAATCACTTCAACAATCTTGAATTGAGTTAACTTGTTGCATTTGTGTGTTAATATTTCAGAATAATCTTTTGGCACCTTTTGAGCTCTGACCATGTGTTATTCCCCTAGGATGAAGCCTGGGCTCAGATAGGTGGTCTAAGTCAGCAGATAACAGGGCTCTGTGGCAGCCAGGAGAAGTCAGCCACCCAGCTGCTTCAACTTCAGGATACCTTGAAGCAATCAGAACAGGGTAAGAAAAGCAGTGAATCCTACAAACACAGTCAATATTTGTTTATCATTCTTTATATACACAGAGCAAATATTTCAAATATTGTTCCAGGAAAAAGAGAGATGTCAGAGTGCTTGCAAGAGACGCAGACAGCCCTTTCCTTGCAGGAAAAAGTAGCATGTCGCACAGAGAGGGAGAAGAGACTCCTTGAAGCGGAGGTAGCTCGATTCAGGACTGGTCTGCAAGCTGCTGAGGCCGAGTCCAGGGCACTGCAAGTATGTAGAAGTCAATGAGAAAGATTTAACACTTGTGTCTAACAAGGCACATATTTGGCTTTTTATTTATATTTAAATCCAATATTAATTAAAAACTTAAAAATTATCGTATTGCTTCCGCTAAGAAAAAAAATGCCCGTTACACAGCGTACAAACGTCTGTGAGGTATTTTAACTTATTTCCTTCTCTCCCTTGATCCTCCTTAGAAACTGTCATTAGTTTGCATAGCAGTGGTGTGTTATCAACTCAATGAGTATTAACAACCGCTGAAATGTCCAAATTGACCGATCAGAATCGAGTATTCAACTAAGCTGTGTAATAAGTATCAAAGAATTGTGTAGCTGAACTACAGAAACTCTTAAGGAGAAACACTTCCCAATTCAAACCATGTTCAATGGAGCATAAAATTATGCTTTCTATTATATCAGGCTTTTAATTTAGAGCCGTAAATTCAAAATGATTGAATTAGAGTTCTTACTATTTTTAACAGTCATTTTCACAAAATGGTCAAACTGTGCTTTGTACCTGTTTTCAGCCCCGAACATCCTAATCATTGACAAATCCAAAATAATTCCAGCTTTCATTTAATATATGGGAAAACAATGAATGTTTGTGTGATTTCTTCATAAAAAAACAACAGGAATTTGTTTCAAGAAAACCTTTTTAATTAATGTGAGACTGAAGGATTGACTAAAACAGCATACAACATCTTCACTGACAATTGATGAACTCTTTGTGCATTCCTCTGTAGGACAAGCTGGAGCTCTTTCAGGGTTTACAATCAGGTGCAAAAGTAGAACAGCAGAATCTAAAGGAGTCTCTACAAGCAGCAGAGGGCAGGCTGAGCTGTCTTGAGCTCTCCCAGCGCACTCGGGAAGGAGAGCTGCAGAGGGCCCAGCTCAGGGCTGCAGAACTGGAGGCAGAGTCAGGGGCCCTGCAGGAGAGACTGACAGAGCTGAGGAGGAAGCTGGGAGAGAGCGAGGAGCGCGGTGTCACGCTGAGGGTCAGCGAGGAGCGGTTGGTCACATCACTGGCTCGCGCTGAGCAGCATGAGAGCCAGCTGAGAGAACAGCTCCACAAACTGTCCAACAGCCTCAGTGACAACAGGAGCAGCAGCGGGGCCCTGCAGGAGCAGATCTCTCAGCTGCAGAGGGCTCTGACAGCCAGTAAGCAGGGCCGGAGGCTAGTGCAGGTACAGGGAAGAGAAAACACTTCAGTAACACAAAACAAATCATGTTCACTGTGTATTTGTTTTTGTAAGCATTTCCCCTCTCTTAACATAAGGAGATTTCATTGAAACTTCCAAATAAGATGAATAGCCATGCCTTCATTGCTGTGTTGATTTACAGTGCAGCTATGTTACCTTTTCAGCTACACACTGAGCATTTCTTATTTACATTTGTGGTTTTCCTGAATGACCTCAAAGACTAAGCGATAAAATGCTCAGGCAAGCGCATTCATTCTCCAAGAGGTTCTCAGGAGAGCTTTCCGGCCTCCGTTTGGGACTGCACTTTAAAGATACTGAGCAAACAAAAACATGACATTGCTTGGTATAAATCTCTGGGTTTGCTCAAAAGCTGTCAGGTCAGTGCAGTAAAAAGCGAGAGCAAAATCCCAACACTTACCCCGACATTCAACAATATGTCAAGGACTTTAAAAAGACACAAAACATAAGGGAAAGGGAGAAATAAAGGGGTCAGTAAAAAATCATGTTTGAATGAAATGATGGCTCATTGTTTACTCATAAGAGAGAAATAACCACATACAAAACAAACTACAAACATACGGTACCAAAACAACCACACAGAGACACATAATGACCACAAAGAAAAACAAAACAACAAGAACAATAAGTAACTATTGGAAAACTGTTACGTCTCTGTCTTTGGCCCCTTTCTAGGAGAGTTGGCATGTCTGTGCCCATGACCAATCATCTCATCATCCACCCATGATATATTATTGCATTTTAACATGTGTGTGTGCCCATAGGAGTGTTTGGATAAAACACGAGATACCCTTTCAGAGAGAAAGAGGATGAACCACACACTAACCGAGCAGACCCAGAGCCTTCGAAGAGCCCAAGACCACCTAGAGATACAAAGTTCTGAGCTGGAGAAACATAACAGGGCACTGAAGGAGGTGAGTCACGCTGAGGTTAAAGTGCAACGGATGGCTGCAACGGTCGAGGCTCCATTTTGATGTTTATTTGTATGGATGAGGCGTGTGGTGCAGTGGATAGAGCCTTGGTGTTGGGATCAGAGGGTCACAGGTTCAAACCCCACTGCAGTCAGCATGTTGTTGTGTCCCTGAGACTCTTCACCCCAAACTGCTCCTGTGGGGATTGTCCACAGTACTGAGTATGTAAGTCGCTTTGGACAAAAGCCTCTAACAAGTGACATGTAATAATAATAATAAAAAACATACACAGGGTGTCAGCGGGGTCTTAAAAAGTATTAAAAGTTGATAAATCAATTT